TACAGAGATCTGCCATGTGTAGCATCCACACTGACACGTGTATCACACAGTTGGCAGAAGGAAACAGGTATATATATATATCACCTGTTGTCCTGATGATGTGGCTGGGTTTTACTACCTAAAACTTCACCTTCATTTTTATCAAATGTAGTGCAAAGATTTTTTTTTGTTTAACTAGGTTTTTATACTTTTGTTGCTATTAATATTTTCCACAATTTTTAGGGTTATTTATTTATTTAATTTATTTATTGAATCACTGTGGGAAAAGTTACAAAGCTTTCAGGTTTCAGTCTCGGTCATGCAATGATCAAACACATTTCCCTTCACCAGTACTTATTTTTCACCACCAAGAACCCAAATATACCCCCTCCCGCCTCTCCCAATGCCTGTGAGGCAGATGAATTCTAATTAACACTCTATCTACTTTGATTAGATTCATTGTTTCTACAAAAGATGCACCATTATTGTTTAGAGTTTACGTCCCCAAATCAGACCTGCTGAAAAGGCATTGTGAAATAATTTGTTTTCTATAGCTGGTTACAAGAACCAAATGATGTTGCGCGGCTGCTATTGAGATTTTGGATTTCTGATATTCTATCTATGAAGCCTGGAAGTATTTCTGCCGAGACCAGATAATTACAGGATTGGTCTCTGTGGTTCTGAGGCCATGGCCGTTCTGGAGAGCCGCTCGTGGGGGGCAACTCGTGACCTCTGTAGAGCGTGAAGGACGATCCGTGAACACCCTCCTTCCCATGAAGTTTGAGTTGCCCCATCACCTCCGGCTCTGTCCTTCCAAAAAGCTCGGAGGTAACTGACATCTTGCTGTCCAGGGGAAAAAGGCGGAAGGGAGCAACACCCTTTCACTCCCGGGCAGCCAAAAATATTCCAGAACTATAATGCAGATGAGTAGATGAACTGAAGCACATGTTTTTCATGCTGAATCCCTGGTTTAGATTCGTGTTGCCAACAAACTAAACAGTGGTATTGGGCACTAATGGTCGAAATGTCACACTGCTTTCTAAAGCAGCCATGAGGACAGACCATGTCATATCCATAGGCTGATGGCTTCTCAGACTGCCTCACTGGTGCAACAGCTGTGGGTCTCAGAGTGAGTCTGGAGAGTCCTGGAAGGAGGCATGGAGCTGGATTGACAAGTCTATCTCAGGAGTCAGGAGCCCTCTGCTCCCTGGCACACCCCCACCGCTCACCTGTCATTTCACCTGCAGCTTCCTCTTCCTTCCTGAAGATATTTCTGAAGTTAGATCCATGACATGTGAGAATGAAAGAAATAAGCACTTAGTTCCTGGTGACACACCATCACTCCTGGGTTCTTGATCCTCTGTTCATGGTTACTTCACAGATAGCTGAACATTTTATTATAAAGAGATATCAAGTTTTGCTTAGTACTTACAGGTTTGCCTTGTGCTGTGTATTACAGCATGTGTTTCAAAGACTGATGTAAAAAGTCTCTCTAGAATCACTAGGCCAAGCATCTGAAATTATTTTAGCTGCAGTACCAGAAAACAGCCACTAGATGGGAGACAGACCCCATAACTGACCATGCAGGGACCCTGGATCTTAAAAGCACTGGGACAGAAACTGAGTTGGTGTTCCATGTCAATAGGGACAGTGGGACCTGTTGGAATGATGGGATATGTATGGAAGTAGCTGTCAGAGGATGAGTTTTATCATGTTCTTGCAGTGTGAGCAGAAGTCCAGTATTACCTGTCTGCTGGAAACATTAGTGGAGTTACCCTTTTCCACATCTCCCCAATTTATATTGTGACATTATTTCATCATGACTGTAGACAGGGAAGATAAACCATTACTTATTGTAAAGTAAAGTCACATGAGGGAAGATAACGAGAGAGCATAAAAGACACCAGAATCCCTCTATCCCCACTGGAGATGGAGGGAGAATTCTGTGTGACAAGGGGAGGGAGGAGCTCCTGCTGACAGGAGGTCTCAAGGGAAGTAACTTTGTGGGACCAAGACCTTTCTTCTCCAGCCTTCCAGAGTGTGAGAATCCCGTGTGTGTGGTGTGATCTCTCTGGCCTGTGTGTTCCTGTGAGGGAGCCTGAGCTGATGCTTCACATCCCTGGACCCTCAGAGCAGGGCTGCCTCAGAGGGACCTCATTTAAGGGGGACCCCATTACCTGTCCTATCCTGGGTTCTGAGTGCTCAAGCTTCATGTTTAACTTTTTTGTTGATCCTGATCTTGCCTTTAGGATGAAGTTGTTGTTACTTTTATTGTAATCAGAAATACCTCAAGCCAAATGGTCCTAGAACTGCATTTCTCGATAGTCAGATGGCTGAATATTGTTCACAGTAACCACTGGGTCCTATAAACAGGACATGAGTGGCACCCAAATAAATGTTTTAAATAATATTTTGTTTTGGGGGAGGGGCACACCTAGCAGTGCTCAGGGTTTACTGTGTTTCTTTTTTTTTTCCTTTAGTGATCACTCCCTCCTTGCCTGGCATGGGATAGGATAGTGGTTCATGGGAGTCTGGTTTGGTCTCTTGGGTGCTGAACTCAGTGGTGTGGGATCATAGGATACTGCAAGAGAACATGGTTTGCAGTTCCAGTCCAGAATGAAAGAACAGTGATGTTGATGGCACTCTTTGGAACCCGGATGCTGACTCCTCCAGTATGGATCTCTGCCCCAGCCCAGAGTGTCAGTTTTCCTTGTGTGAATCCTATCTTAACCTGACACTGACTCCTTCACCCCAGGTGTCACCCTGCATCCCCTAGAGGTTTTTGTTTAGTGTCTGTGAATCCCATATGCTGTGATGGTGCTGTCACTGGATGTTCTATAGTGCTATCACCTCAATCTTTTCAAAACACTAAGTCTTCATCTGGTGTCTGAGAGCTGCTGTGTCTTTCGTGGAACACGAGGTTTGTGACCAAGGGATGCACCAGTGATGAGACAGAGATATTCAGAGAGGATTCGGTCAAGCTGTACTGTCTAAGCCACTGCAGCTGAACACATTTTCAACTGGCCAGCTCAGGGGAAGAAGATGAATGATAGGAAGAGAATTCAAGGATGTCAAAGAATATTCAGGTCTGTGTCATGAATTAGAGCTGGAAAAGAAACAAGTGTTTCAAGATGAGGAAGGAAAGTTTTTGCTATTATAATATTATTATAATAGCTTGCCATACTCTGCAGGGGGAAGATGGAGCCTTTGGGGGCAATCTCTAAGTGTCCCTGCAGGTGTTCCCAGTCTACAGAATGTAAGCTCCTGGTGACCAGACTGCTGTAACAATTTGTACATTGACAATATGCACCTGCCTGCGTCTCCAGGCAGCGCCTGGGGCATCTGCAGCCTGGAGTTGATCTTCTTGAGGTGGATGGAGTGCGCCTGGAGGTTGTTGAATAGCTGACAGAATGAGACACCATCGCATAGAGTCTGTGCCAGGTCAATCACCTGTGCCAAGACCCAAGTCACTTGGCACAGTGTCCCACAGTGGACAAGTTATTGCATGGCTACTGTCACTACCCCAAGCTCGAAGGCGCTGTGACTGGGCCCAGCCAGGGGAGGCAGTGATGCTGTGGCCAAAGCCACAATGTTTCGTCACCCCGCCGACACCATTGTAAGATGTAGACCCTAAAATTTTAAGTTCAATAATCTGTGCTGGTTATGAACCTCCTAAGAGACAGACTCTGGGTTGAAAACCTAACAGAGTGTGGGTTTCACAAGCCAGGGTCTGCTATGGAAAAAGCAGCCCCTGCACTTACCTCTAAAGAGACATTTTGTTCCAGTGTGATATATGGTTTTAAATGAATTTAAGCCTTATTGATGCATGTATAATCATTCTCTTTCTTTAAATGTAGTAAAATGTATTTCAACTTGCATGATCTTAATTGAGACTTTGGGATGTAGTTTGAGACTATAGATGCAACCTCATTTAAAAGAGGATTTTTTTTTCTGTGTCAAACTCCTTGAGCATGTGTGTCACCATGAATTCAATTCATTAGTCCCCAGGGAAAGGCAATTCCAAATTCGTGATTATTACAATGTGAAACTATTAACCTGATTACAACAGAAACAGAGAAATTTTTCTCTTCCATGTCCATTCTAAATGTTGAGACTTGGGGGCGGAGCCATATCACAGTGGGCAGGACATTTTCCTTGCACATAGCCAACCGGGGTTCAAGTCCTGGCACCCCTTAGGGTTTCCCAAGAACCACCAGTAGTGATTCCTGAGTGCAAAGCCAAGAGTCAGCCCTGAGCATCACCAAGTGTGACCCAAAACAAAGCAAACAAAAAAGAAGCAGAAGAAGAAGAAGATGAAGAAGAAGAAGAAGAAGAAGAAGAAGAAGAAGAAGAAGAAGAAGAAGAAGAAGAAGAAGAAGAAGAAGAAGAAGAAGAAGAAGAAGAATTTGAGACTATGCACATGAGAATCAGGAGATTCTCACATGGGAGATATGGGAGACAGATTTTTCTGTCAGATTTATCTGAGATTGACCTAGATACATATTTCCATAGCTAGAGCACCTGATAAATCAGAAATATACTAATTGTGAGAGACGCAGTGAGGCGGTCTGAGTTATAGTGCAGAGTTTGAGGTGATTACCTTGCATGCAGCATCCCATATGGTCCCCCATATACTGGTAGGAGTACTTCCTAAGTGAGGAGCCAAGAGTAACCCCTGAGCACTGCTAGTGTGGCCCCCAAGCAAGCAAACAAACCATAAAAGAGAACAAAAGAAACATTGACACACATCTGTGTCACCCAAAGTTAGACTGAGGAATGTTCCATCTTAACCACTATCATCAAGTCTAAGTTAATGTTTCCACTGTTTTTCATAGATTAGAAGACACATGTGTCACTTTGCTCAAGAGAAGTGACTCCTTCCTTGAGGTCTTTTGACGCCAAAGCACCCACCCTTGTATTTGCATACTGTCCCCAGGGGAGGATCTATATTGAACATTATCACATAAAAGTCATCTCTATCTTGCTTTCATGTATAAGTTCTTCTCAGGTCAACTCTCAAAATGAGGTTCCCTGCTCAGTTTCTGGTTCTGCTGATACTATGCATCCCAGGTAAGGGGAACAGGGAGAAGAGAAAAAATGGGTTCAGGAGGGGGTGTTGGGGGGGCCCACTTGTTGCCTTGTGTGATCTGTGTGTGTGTGTGTGTGTGTGTGTCAGACTGTGTGAGAAAGAAACATCAGGAAACTGGAGATGGCCCAAGGAAGGTGTAGAGGCCTGTTTGTCCATCCCTAAGGTCTCTTCACTGTAATGACATCCTTCTGGTGTATGAGTACAAATCATTCAATTAAAGATTTTCCCAGTAAACAATATTTTACCAAAATAAATTACAGAATGGAAGCAATAAAATTGACCTGTGTTGTTTGATTATAACCTGACACTTTCAAAAATCAATTTTCCAGGGTCCAGAAGTGATATTGTGATGACTCAGAGTCCACTCTCCCTGTCCATCGTCAAGGGACTTCCAACCTCCATCTCCTGCAGGTCTAGCGAGAGCCTCCTACATAGTAATGGAAAAACCTATCTGTACTGGTTCCATCAGAAGCCAGGCCAACCTCCAAAGCGCCTGTTTTATTATGTTTCTAATAGAGACCCTGGGGTCCCAGACAGGTTCAGTGCCAGTGGGTCAGGGACAGACTTCACTCTTCAGATTAGCAGCGTGCAGCCTGAGGATGTTGGCATTTACTACTGCTATCAAGATTTAAAGAATCCTCCCACAGTGATACAGCCCCGAACATAAACCTCCCTGCCTGGCCTGCCCCAGATGGCCACACGTGTTCTTTGCTGGTGAGCAGAAGCAGAGTCTCTAAATCAGTGACAGGAAGGCACTGGGGGTCTCAGGGGAGGAGGCTGCAGCTGTGGGTCTGGATCCTGGCATCCCCTGCTGTACTGCAGACACCCCACATTAGGACCTGGTCAGAGGCACAGGCCTGGCCTGGCAGAGCTGCAGTTAGGCAGGGGGCTGTGTGCTGTGAATGACCAGTTGTAGTGAACTGACAGCTGATGGGCAACCTCATTTTACCTTGTGAGTTTTGCCCACATTTGTAGCACTGCTCCACTGCATTTTCCTCCCGTTGTTCATCGATTTGCTCGAGCAGGCACCAGTAACGTCTCACAAAAAATTGTGAGACTTGTTGTTACTGTTGTTGGCATATCAAATACATCATGGGTTGCTTGTCAGGCTCTGCTGTGCATGCAGGATACTCTCAGTAGCTTTCACGGCCCTCCGACAGGGGCGGAGGTATTGACCTCGAATTGGCTGTGTGCAAGGTAAACCCCCTACCCACTGTGTTAGGGATATATTGCTACCTAAGTATCAGATTATTCACACAACTTTTTCAAGATTTTAAGGCAAAATGGAATTTACTGTGAAATGTACATTTTTATAGAAAAGTGCTTCATATGGATCAAAGAGAGTTCAACAATTAAGGTGCTTGCCTTGAAGTGGTCAACACAATTATATTTTTCCTTCCAGGATTGATCTATAAGCCTGGAATAAGTCCTGAGCACTGCCAGGTGTGGCCTCAAACTAACAAATGAAAAAACGAACAAACTAAAACACTAACAAACCAACAAAAGTAGCTTCACTCCTCCCCCATCCCAGGCCACCCCTCTGAGACCCTCTCACCTCCTCCACGTGCACCCCTAGGGCTTCCCGACTGGGTCCCTGATGGAGACTCCAGCGTGTCAGCTCAGACTCTCTGTCCTGATCTCACAAGGTCCAGTTCATCCTGCTCACACATGGGCCCTGGTGCCTTTAGTGATGGGCCCCAGTTTTTCTCATTCCTGCCCATGGTCACCCCTAGTTCTCACTCCTTTCCTTGGATTCCTGTGCAAGACCCTCTTGGTCAGTGCAGTCAGGGGAAGCAGAATGTAGAGTAGGAATTTCTCTGACACTTGCTCATTGGGGCAGGAGCCATCCTCCAAAGTCAAATTCTTGTAGCAGGAAAGACAATGGGGCAGGCAGGGAACCTTCCACTGGTGTCCCATGGGAAGCTGGCCATAGACTAAGAGTGGTTTTGTCCCCAAGGTAGCCCTGAGCTCCCTGTGGTGCTCCTGAAAATTCACCTGGAGGACACTGTCCCCAAACACAGCTCTAGAGAGACCCATGTCCTCTTGATCCTACCCAATAGCTGCTGAGTTCCAGCGTTCCATGTCACCCTGAGCCTAGAGTTGTCCAGCTCCCCACTGACTCACAGAGGTCCCTGTGTGGGGACCTGCCCTTCATGACGCTGATGGGCCGGAGGGACAAGGCCTATCACATTCACACAAACATGTAAGATATAAACCCACACATATTAAGGACATATCACATTTCACTCAAATGAGAGAAAGAATCCGAAGTTCCGACATCCGTCGATGATCAAGAATCAGGGACGCTGTCTCATTTGCCAACGTGTCAAAAATCAGATTGGCTGGTCACGTAATGAGATTTAAAGAGACCGCTGGGCTAGAGCTGTTACCGACTGGATTCCACAGGATGTCAAAAGACCACGTGGCCGCCCACCTACCAGGAGGTCAGACTTCTTCATCAAGGTCATGAACGATAGGTTTGAGGCTCTTCATGTTCCCATAGCGAACAGATGCCATTGGGCTACATTAGCACGCGACAGGGACAAATGGAGACATTATTGGCGCCCGCTCGAGCCAATCAACGACTAACGGGAAGTTAAGTGATTAAGTGATTTTCATGTCTAGTTATATAGAAATCATATATAACTAACCTCCTTCTTACTTCCAGAGAGACATCCAATTAATGTTCGGTAAATGTCCAGAAACAAAGTCTTTCATCCCCAACAGCAAAGGCAACTCTCCTGGCCCTCTCGGCACAGGCAGCAATCTTACTGCAAAGACAAGCGCATGGGACAATGTTTACATTTGGTTCATTGTGTTTTTCCTTCGTTTCTGTAATGCAGTGAAAACATTGCAGATCCCAATAAAGCCTACCCTCCAGAGAGAGGGACTTTGTCCATGTACTGGAAGAAGCTTTTTTTTTTATTAGTGAAACACCAAGAGGTACAGTTGTAGATTTACAAATATTTGTGCTTGGGTTTCGATTATACAATGATCAAATACTCATCCCTCCACCAGTGCCCATTTTCCAATACCATGGATAATATCCCTCCCACCCCCATCACCCCCATCCCACCCTGCCTCTGTGGCAGGGCATTCCCTTTTGTTCTCTCTCTCCTTTTGGGTGTTGTGGTCTGCAAAAGAGGCATTGAGTAGCAAACATGTTCAGTCCATAGTCTACTCCCAACATGCATCTCCCCTCCTGGGAGGATCCTCCAAACACCCTTTATTTGGTGCTCCCTTCTCTATCTGAACTTCCCTTTCCCCTAGAATACCCGGCTGGCCTCTAAGCTACGGAGTAATCCTCCTGGTGCAGATCTTAGCTATTGTTGGGTATTAATCTCATATTTTGTTACTTTATATCCCCCAGATGAATGCAATCTTTCTATGTCTATCCCTCTCTTTCTGACTCATTTCGCTTAGCATCAACTGGAAGAAACATTTATCAGGACAGTTTACAACTCCCATATTGTGATTTTACCATTTGGTCTCTTGTAGTTATATTGTATCTAGAGGGACCTCAGGAATGAGGTCCAGGGAAGCGGGTGCTCAAAGGCTCACACATATAGCATGGTCAAGACAGAGCCACCCACACGGCAATAGACTCTTAGTTATATCAGAAAATTTATTAGGAAAGGCTGTAGTTAAATAAAGGCTGAGGGATAAATCCTCCATGCACCAGATGGGTGACATGAGCGTGGGGCAGACCCTGTGATTAACAGATGGCAGCTTGCTTGTCCTGATGTTGCTTATTGACTCCTAAAAACACATGGTTATCTGGGAAATAGTCTACAACAGGGCTGTATCGTGTATACTATAAGAAATGGCCGAGGTAAAGCATGGATTCATAGTCTTAAATAATACTAAAATCAAATGTAAAACTACAGAGTTGCACTAGCTGCATTTCGAGTCTCTCCACTATAATCATTTGTAGAGTCAGTCACACATTGGAAAAGCATGATCACAACCTCATGATCAAAATCACTCAGGAACAGTGATGTAGAAGACCATGTTTGAGACTCTGCGGTTGAATGTTGACACACCAAGAATACACTATGGGTCATCATTGGATGATTTGTCCCCATAGGTGTCTCATAGAGTCATAGAAACAATCCTCACAGGGCTTGGTCTAGAGCTCATGGTTCCAAAGCCTCCTCAGTGGTGCAGCCACTGTGGTTCTCGAGCTGGTCTGGGTTATCCTGTAAGGAGGAATGAGGCTTCATTAGCCTTCTAGAGAGGAGCCAGGGGTCCTCTGCTTTCTGCTCTCCCACCCCCACGTGTGCCATGATCCTTACAGGCTCCTTCTCATCTCTGGAACCCTCCTGCCTTTTCAAAAATAACATCTGTGGCGTATCAGAGGATTTACAGTGTGTAGTACTTTCCCATTTTGTCTGACATCTTTTCAAAAGTCTAGTCACATGCCATTTCTCCTCATCCAGTAGACCGTTTATTAGTAATATGAAACACTTTATTTTCCCCACACACTCTTGTGTGAAATTGTGCCCTGATCACAAATCTCAAAGTCTGGATAGTTGTCTGGGAAAAACATGTTAGATCTGACACTATATAATCAGGCACACAATAATGCACCCAATGGCAGCACTCAAAAAATGCTAGAATGAAACAGTTAAGGATCGTTAAGGGGTAGAGAGAAACTCAGGAAAAAAATAAAAAGAAAGTGCCCAGACTTCGTACTGTAGGTGGCTGTTGATTGTCTCTGTGAAACACGCCAGCCTCTGCTCCTCATGCACACTCTGAATGTGGATGTGGTCACCAACTGTCCTAATTTCCCTGCCAATTTAAACACTGACTTGCTTTTGGGACCCCTTTTGGAGGGAGCGACATTACATTGAAAAAACGGCTTCCTGTGAGTTCACTGGGCCTGCCCCACCACCCTAAATCTTGGACAGTCCTTGTATGTGTGTTTGTCTCATTTGTGTCTGTTTGTCTCATTCCTTGTGACTGACCCCTGGTGCATTGAGATTGAAGGTTCCAATCCAGTTGGATTCAGAAAGTACCATTTCCATGTAGTCTTGCTTGGTGGTGGGCTTTACGGTCTATTCCAAAAACTTGGAGAAAGTCTCTGGATTCCCCAGGAGGACAGAGATCATCAGCACCTGGAACCTATAAAGTTGCTGTAGCACACAGAGCACAGTATATGGCAGACTAACCCCATAAGTCACAGGACAGTCCCTGGATCTGAGAAACACTGAAGAGAGAGTCACAGGCCTATTGTCAGCAGGGACAGGGGCTCTGTGGTATAGTGGGAAAGTATGAAGTCTTTAGAGTCTGAGCTGGAGCGAGAATTTCACCCTTTTCTGGTGTGGGGTAGAATCTTTTTGTCTTTGAATGTGAAAAATGTACAGCAAAGAATGGCTTTTGGAATATTGTATGACTGAAGCCCAGTCATGAACAACTTTGTAACTGTGTATCTCACTGTGATTAAATACATAACTAAACAAATATATAAAATAATACATTACAGAAGTCCTGTCATGCCCTTGTAGTATGAACTGATTTTATCCCATATTTACTATTCATAGTTGGAGATAGTTCTGTCGAATCACTTAAGCTCACATGACGGTGATTAGATGGAAATATAGGGGCATCAGGGAACCCCTCTCTGTCCCATCAGACACCCACCCATGAGAGATCTGCTGGACAAGA